CTTAGAACTGTAACAACATCCTCTTCAGGTAATCTACTGGACGTGCGCGCGTAAGTGTAGTGATTTTCCAAGCGTATCTTGGGTGCGGCCCTAGGCCGAAAGTTAGGGGCGCTCAGTGAGGATCGAACTCACTACTCATACGTAATTGTTCTAGCAAGACAATCTTTCTAACCATTACACCACCTCGAGGTGCCCTGCGCGAGTCAGTGTATGTGAGTGAACATTTTAGTCTCTCTACGGGTTTATGGCGAATTTGGTGATACTGTAATTGCGTGTTCAATCACGACAGCGAGCAGTACAGGCTGAGTTTCTGGGAAAACGGGACAAGTTAAAATTCATCACTTTAACAATTCCCAGCCACTATCCATTATACCACACGCACATTCATGCTTCATTCACCAGGTATTCCCAAGCGGTCACCCATCTAGGTAATGACCAGGCTCGACGTTGCTACGGCTATCGTTTAGGAACTAGTGTTTCAATGTGATATAACTGCAAGCATGTTCTTTAGAAACTCACCATATGGAAGAAGAATAGAGATGGAAACACTAATTCATTACCTTTACCAAAAGCTGGTATTAAAAGGAAACTGTGGAGAGACACGTTCGCCTACGCGCTGAAGAGTCATCGTATTTAAAAGAAATTGTAAATATTACAGTATAAGCCCCTGCTGACATTCTATATTATGAAACTATTTTTACTTGGATATTGTAGAATTTGGCAGTCCTTGAAAGGACAAACCGTAATAAACGTTAGACAGGAAGAACATTCTCAAATTCTCGAAACTTGCTCATTGTCTTGTTTCTTCTTATTAACTACATTAAATGTCTATTTAAAATGAAAGCAAGAGAACACGTCCCACCTTCTTCAGAAGGTCGGTACGTTTCTCGAGACTCACGATGGCACGTGTTTATGTTGTTTTCCAAAGTCAATGTTTCCGATCGTTTTTCAAGAATATCTTTTTCCAAACCTGTCCCATTTTACCTCCCACACAGATATACAGTACGGCCATTATTATTATTATTATTATTATTATTATTATTATTCATGGCAGTTCTGTTTATTTATATTAGTCACTGTTGATTCCTGTTTTTCAAATTTTAAACGTTTTCTTTCCATTTTTCTTTCGGTTTTCCGCGCTGTTTCGACTTCCATGTTGTCGCTATCACTTTTCCTTCTAATTTCTCGGCGTGTTGTGAATATCTTTCGTTTTCATTCTTTCTAATTTTCTAATTAAATTATATTTGGTTTCATTTTATTTTTTTTATCAAATGTTCCTTTTAAAATTTGATTTCTTATCTTGTTATATATTTCTTCGTTTTTCTTCTTCTTCTTCTTCTTCTTCTTCTTCTTCTTCTTCTTCTTCTTCGTTAACTGCTTCGTCTTTTTTCCTGCTTTTCGTTTTGATTCTTTGTTTCCTGTTTCCTCCTCCTCATTTTCTTCTTCATTTTCTTCTTCTTCTTCGTTTCATGTTTTTGTCTTCTACGTTTTATGATTCATCATCTTCATTTTTTCCATCTTCGTCTTCATCTTCTACGCTTTCTGCTGCTACTTTGTCTTCTGACACTTCTATTTTTCTGCTTCTTCTACTCCCTCATCATCATCTGCTTCTTCTTCGTTTTTCCTTCTTCCTTTTCTTCTTCTTCATTTTCTACTTTTCTTTGTTTTTCCTTCTTCTTCGTTTTCTCCTTCTTCGTTTTCTGTGCCTTTTGCTTTTTCTCCGGTTTCCTCTTCATCTTTGCTTTTTTTCCCTTCTTTCTCTTCCTTTACTGATTTCTCTGCTTCTTCTTACACGTTTTCTTCTTCTTCTTCTTCTTCTTCTTCTTCTTCTTCTTCTTCTTCTTCTTCTTCTACTGCTACTACTACTATTACTACTACTACTACTTCATTTTCTACCACTTCTTTGGTTTCCTCTTCGTTTATTCCATATTTTTCTCTTCAGATTTTTATGCTTTTCTTACGCGTTTTCTCCTCCTCCACCCCCTTCTTTTTCTTCTTCTTTTTCTTCTTCATTTTCCTGCTATTTATTCGTTTCCTGCTGCTTCTTCTTCTTCTTCTTTATTCTTTCTTTTTACCTCTCTAACCATCACTGATTTTTTTTTCTTTTTTATCGATTTCATCTTGTCATTCTTTTTTATTTCTCTCATTTCTTTTTATGATTCATTTTCCTTTTGCTCTTTATAGCCTCTTTCTTTCTTCTCCATTCTACCTTCTTTCTTATTCTGTATTCGTTTACTTTCTTTCTTCACATAATCATTCTGCCATCTTTTCTTCGTTTCATGCTTCTTGTCTTTTTCTTTTTATGCTTCCTCTTCTTTTTTCCTTCATCTTCTTATTCGTATTCTTCTTCTACGTTTTTTCCTCATACTTCTTCCATTTCTATCAATTCTTCGGTTTCTGCTTCTTCTTCGTTTCCTGCTTTTTCTTTTCCTTCTTCTTCTTCTTTTCCTTCTTCTTCTTCTTCTTCTTCTTCTTCTTCGTATTCTGCTTCTTGTTTTACTTCTTCATTTTTGTTTTCCCTTTTCTTTTTTCTTCGTTTACTGCTTCTTTGTTTTCAATTTTCTTCTTTTCTATTTTTTCATCTTCTTTTTCCTCTTAGTGTTACGGCTCTTCTAAGTTTCCTTCTTTTCTTCTTCTTCTTCTTCTTCTTCTTCTTTTCTTCTGCTTTTTCTTCTTCTTCTTCTTTTTCTTCTTTTTCTTCTTTTATCCTCTTTCTTCGTTTTTTTCTCCTGCTTTTTTTTCGTTTACTGCTTCTTTACTTTTTCTTCTTCGTTTTCTCCATCTACTTCTTCGTTTTCTGCTGCTGCTTCTTTGTTATTCCTTTTTTCTTCATTTTTTTCTTCTTCTTTTTTCGTTTTCTATTTCTTCTTCATTTTTCCCTTCTTCTTCTTCCTCTTCATTTCCTTCTTTTTTTTCGTTTTTTCCTTCATCATGTTCTTCTCCGTTTTCTGCGTCTTATGCTTTGAGTTATTGTTCTTCATTTTTAACTTTTTCTACTTCCTCCTCATTTTCTGTTTCCCTTTCATCTTCTTATTCTTCGTTTTCACCTTCTTCTTCTTATTGTTTCCCTTTTCTTCTTCCTTTTTATCTTATTTTCTTCTACCTTTTTCCCTTCATCTTCTTCATCGGTTTCCGCTTCTTCTTCGTTTTTCCTTTATTTCTTCCTTAGTTGTCTGCTTCTTATTCATCTTCGTCTTCTTGATTTTCTTCTTCTTCTTCTTCTTCTTCTTCTTCTTCTTCTTCTTCTTCTTCTTCTTCGTTTTTACCTTTTTCTTCTGTGTATTTTGTATTTGTTTTTGTGTTTGGATGAGTGTGTGTTTGAGCGAGGGATTAGTCAAATGACTTTTATTAATTACCTAGTCCTGCATTAACTGATATTTCTGTCGCAATTAAGAATTGGCGGAGGTTGGAGGTTAGTATTAATATTATTTTATTTATTTCCTCGTATAACGGGTGTATTTATTTTAAATATTAATTGGGGCTTCGTTTTTAAATCTTTTTTTTTTTTATCTAAGTCCGCCAGACAAATTATACATATTAGAATTAGTTAGGATTACATAGAGACTTTGATGCATTATGGTGGCTGTAGCAAGAATGGTAAATAAGAATGCCTTGTTTTGCTGTGGTATGTTTGGGTCAGTCATCGTGGCTAGATAAGTTTAAAATAGGACAAATTAAAGACTAGCCTTCCCCTACCCCCTCCATTTTGGCCTTGTCCCACATTTTTGTATCAAAACAAAATAAATATTACTATTTACATTGATTCTTTCATATCAGTTTGCACGACATCGAAGAATTTGATCGGAATTAATGGATCCAGAAAAATCATCCGACAGAAACTTTCGGATGCCAAAAATGCTTCAACCTAATTTTTTTTATCAAAACCACACGAATTGTATACAGAATATTACAATCAAATCGAAATGATAGTAAATTTTAGAAACAAAACTACAGGGTGCGATTGATAAATTGTCGCCATTTTATATTTTTAATTTCACGCATGCGCGTTGTTTGTTTTTGCTTTTTGTTGACTGCACAGTATCGTAGTGTCAGTTGTGAGACAAAAGGCACCATTACACAATTCATTTAGTCAGTACTTTAAACCCGGCACGCTGTACTGATTGGCATTCGCGCCAGAAGGACTTGGCTAAGTCTAATGGTAATTCCGAAGGTACGGCAGATCAGAAAACTCACTTTGGTCGTTCTAGTAAGAAAAGAACTCCAAGATTTATTGGTGAGGGCCTCATACTCAACACAAAGACCTACATCAAGTGCCCGTTGGAAGAAGTGCTGCTTTGACTGAAGAGGGTGGCTGCTGGCAACAGGTCTCTGCACCATGCCACACAAGCAGCAGAACGGAGTCATGGCTATCAGACAATTTCTGCGATCACATCAGTCCTTATATCTGGCCACCTAACTCCACAACTGCAATCCGTTATGTTATTATTGCGAGAGAGGCCAACAAAATTCCTTATAACAGCAAAGATGAACTGAAGGCGTGGATGATGCCAGCAGTCACCAACTTAAAAATGGAGACAGAAGAGATTTAGGATGTCCCGGAGTCGTCTGGAGGCCATGGTTAAAGCCAATGGCGATTTTATTGAACAAATGTATTCTTTAGTATTTCAAGATTTTTTTGTGTACTTTTGGAGGATATATCTGTTAAAATGAAATGTCAATATTATTTTCATTTTTGCGTCATTTAGTCGACAATTTATCCATCGCGCCCTGTATATTATATACTGTTTTTTTTTAAGATATGATGATGATACTAATCCCAGACAGAATTGCTAGAAAGCTTTCAAATTTAATTTAATTTTTAAAAATTCTCACTTTAAAAATAAATAGCTGCCTCAAATGATAAATACAAAAAAAAAAAAATGAAAAAATGTGAAACCTTCATAAAAAGAAAAAGTATAAAATATTAAAGAATGTAGATGTTGATGGCGAATTTCCAGGATGGGTAATTATGAAACGATTTGTCTTATGTAAACTCATACTTAAGAAAGAAAGAAAGAAAGAAAGAAAGAAAGAAAGAAAGAAAGAAAGAAAGAATAGAAGAAGATATTAACAAAAGATGGGATAAAAAAAAAAGAAAGGAAGAAAGAAGGAAACTAAGGAACGAATAGCCGAAGTCTACTTTAAAGAAGAAATACATAATTAGAAAAGAAAATGAGTCGACGAAAGGATAAAGGCAGTTCAAGTTTATTGTGTCGGTTTATAGTGGTCGGTGGTGGGGCTTTTGAGGAAACCAAAGAAAGAACAGTGGTAAAGTCATCGACTTTTCTCGCCATCCTGCATCTATCAGCATTGAGTTGATTACTTGAATTTTATTATTCTATCTTTCCTTCCTTCCTTCTTTCTTCACTTTTCAAGGCAAGCCGCCCCCCCCCCAAGGCTCATCTGCTTCTTTTGTCTTTTGCAACAGAGCGTAACTATGAAAACATTTCTTCGATTTGGGGCTGACGAAAAAAGAATTGGATGAATTAGTGAAGGTATTGTAGGGTAATACAGCAGCAAGAACAATGGAAAAGATATATTAGAAGAAGAAGAAGAAGAAGAAGAAGAAGAAGAAGAAGAAGAAGAAGAGATAACAGAATGATTATTTGAAGAGAGAAAGTGAATGAAATAAGGAGGAAGGCAAAATGGAGAAGAAAAAAGAGGCGATAAAAAAGCAAAAGAGATATGTATAAGAGGAAATGTGAGAAATAAAAAAAGAATGAAAAGATGAAATCGATAAACTAAAAAAGAAAAAAAAATGATGGTTAGAGAGGTAAAAAGAAAGAAAGAAAGAAAGAAAGAAAGAAAGAAGCGTAATTTGAAAACTGGTTAACGAAAGTAAACCAGAAATAAAGAAATAGAAGAATTGCTTGGTTGAAGAAAGAAAGAAAAAAAAGAAAGAAACGTGAGAAAATCCTTGGGGAATAAAAGGAAAACCAGTAACGAATGTAAGAAAAAAAATACAGAACGTATCATAAAAGTTGATTAGTGAAAGAACGTTACAAAGAAAGAAAATAATGTAATCTTAAATGTCGGTTGGATGAAGAAAGAAAGAAATAAGGAAAGAAACAAACAAACAAACACACAAAGAAAGAAAGAAAGAAAGAAAGAAAGAAAAAAGAAAGAAAGAAAGAAAGAAAGAAAGAAAACATTATTAAAATGTAATGTTTACGGATGGCTGGAGGAAACTAGAAAGTAAAGAGAAAAATAATGTTTAGGATCGTAAAAGAAAGAAATAAAGGAAAAGAAAGAAATTTTGAAGGGTGAAAGAAAGAAAAAGAAACTACCGGAAAGAAGAAGAAAGAAAGAAAAGAGTACCGGAAGAGATGAAATCCTTGATGATTCCAACAGTGATACAGCCACTTTCAACAGCCACTAAACATAATAAAGATATCAGGCCTAACATGATGATAAAAACATCAATTTGAACAAAACTTTTGGGGCTTTCTGCTATTTAACCCGAAGAAGTCTTGTGACTGGTAATCATTAATGCCATGAAATTCGAGACTTTCAAGTTAAAACACTTGAGGTTAATTTTCATTTATTCATCGATTGGAAAATAACCAAATTTCCGTATTGGGTCATAGATATTGACCAACAGAGGTTTTAAGAAATACATATTATAATAATTTCTCTGTTCAAAACAAACATTTGGACTTTGTTATAAAACATTCTGCCAATAATAAGGGAGGATGTTTTAATCGATCTGTTGCTGTTAAAAGTGAACAATTCGTTCGAACATGCACGATTCCTTGGTGTTTTTAACCCATAATTTGAACTGACGTATTCCAGTCTTCCTCTTATGCTTATTGTATTCAGAAATTTTCTCGTGGTGCCGGACTTCCGTTTCATAACTGGGGGTTCACTCATTCGGTTCAGCAGTGTAAATTGTTCGATTGTAGAGGTTAAGATTGTAGTGATCAGAAGTGAAAGGAACCACCTTCTTTATCAATGGAATAGATGAAAGGGCCATACAGGGATTATTTGACACTGATCTACGTGGCTTGCTCCCCGCCCCAGCTGTATAGAGATTTGAACTAAGGCAAGTTACTCGTTTGATAATTTACCATTAAAATAGCGATAGATTAGTGATGTTTTGCTGGTGAGGATAGGAGTTTTATGTTTGCAAATAATTCACGAAAAATTTTTTGAACTCTTCACAAAGTGAGGGTTAGGCAGCGCCAGCCTAGATATAGAAGCAATAATGGATTTTTGGACAGCTTGGAATATTTTAAGCAGAGTATGATAGGAATAGTAATGTACTTTTTAGAGCGGCACAAGAAAGCGATCATTTTTCAAGCATTTTTCAGCGATTAATAAACTCCACTTGATGGTCGGAGTGACCACTAGATGTTCAGGATAAAGCGTCTCATTGAGCGTACAAGAGTTCATCGTGTCTGGAGACAACTCACAGCTGAATGTAGGGGAAGCATTTAGCGACCAAAAAAATGTTAACAAAATACTAATGAGGGCGTGAATGGCTATCTCAGCAGAAATTGAAATCAGTGAGTCGAGTTGAAATTCCGGACTAGTCTGTTGTGTTCACTTTGGAAAATGTACCAACCCATGTCTTCACCAAGTCCAATATCTTCGTCAAGCAACAGAGTGCACCGGACTCCCTAGTCTTTCATAGTAGGTAGTCTACGAGAAGAAATACTTTGAATTTAAAAATAAGGTAAGCCAAGATCATCTGCGCTTTGAAAGAACATAGCATTTTAAAAATATGATAATTTTCAAAATTAAAAAGTATTTTTCACTCATTTTTTAAAATATTTTAAGGAACTTATTAATGCAGTTTATTCTACAGCCTCGAAAGAACAATAATCACACATTCGCAACTCTGGAGTTTGTCTTTCATCGGCGATGATTTAACTATTAAGCAGCCAAACTACGATAAATACATCTTTTAGTTGTAGTCTTTCAGTTATTATCTTTTTATTTTTGAAACCATATTCATAACTTCATTGTTTATTACTGAGTATATTACAAGCGAAATCCGAAACGATAAAGATGATTATTTTGTATTAAAACATTTAATTACCATATAAACAAAATATTTAGCAAATTTTACCAGCACTGCTACTGAATTTACTCCTGTCGTGATGAACGATTGCATTCTCAATGAGGGTCCTTTCTCTGAACATCAATCAAGTTCACACCAGAAACCCAAGCGCAATTCATTTATAGGATTCATCTCTAAAGATGCTGGAAATGGATCGGTTCAAGTTAACCCTTCAGAAGGGTACGTAACTCGCACAGTTATGTTTTTTATTTATTTCTCTTTTAATCATTTTACTCCAACTAAGGTCATAAAATCACTAAGATGCAGAAGTTTACGGAGTGTGAAATAATATAAGTAAAAGAAAACATTATTAAAGAGGACGCTCAACAAAAGAATAGGAATTAAAAGTAAGAAAATGACGATTGACATTGCATTTTAGTTTTTGAAGATCAAATTTGATAGGAAAGTAAGAAACCGGGGGAGAGTTCCACAAGCGAGAAGTGGGAGAAAAGAATACTTTGGAATAAAACTTACGATTAATTTTATCCATGTCAACTGTATAATAATGAGATCTTGTCGCCAATCTAGTACTGCGGTTAAATTCATAAAATCTTGGTACCACAGGAGCAAAATCATCAGAATAAATAGTATGAAAGTATTTATAGAAAAGTCTGATGGAAGCTACATTTCGACGGTGGGAAAGAGACTGAAGCCAATGTGTCAGATTAGAACCACTAACATTGCTGATTCTTCATTGAATTTTATCAAGAATCTCTAAATGTATAGCAGGAGCACCAGATTATATGTGGCAGCACAATTCAAATCATGGACGAATGGTTCGCTTATAAATATATCAGTTGAAGCGGGAAAGACTGTCTGACTCAACACTGAATAAACTTTCCTAGTAGCAAACCGCGAAGTTGATTCGATTCAATCTTTCCGCATCATGCCAGCGATAATGTTCTGTTTTGAATTTTGTTGAATTTTAAAAACTAAATAGTGAAAAACATTAAGAAAGCCGTCTTGTGCTAAAAACCACGTTTTTACTTTTCTTCCAGTAGGTGGATGGAAATCCTCTTCAAAGATTATTTTATTATGTGAAAATTGTCATTATTTTCTAGTAATAACAGTGGAGAGGTCGTATTCACAACGGTTTTAGAAGTCCTTTTCCTGGTTGCTATACAACCGAGTCTAACTTGGTATTTCGCATATGACTGGGCGGAGGAATTGTTTTATGCTTTACAGAAAAGGATTTGTGTGAAAATGAACGATGCAGACTAGATCAGGACTTAAATTAGGTTTTGTTAATTTTATCTTGTTTTATGGCATATAAAACTCAGTGATTTATTTAATGCCAACAAGATTTTTATGATAGCTTCGTATGAATAGAATATGTAGTCCTTGTAAGAAATCATTTTGTAGATCAGGTTTGACATATTTTTGTAAAGAGGGTTTTGTCGAAAGTAAAATGTATGGCTGGTATTTTTTGTCATATATGTCTTGCTAGTATTTTTACTATACAAATCTATTTTTATACTTTAATCGTTTGGGGGTTGACTATTTGTCCATTGTTGGGGCCCTAACATGTGCTACCACCCTGGACCTGGGAACAACAGCAATTAAGATGTGGTTACACACTCCTCAAAACCTCTCAATCAGAGGCTTCTCTACCGGATGTAATCTATCGTCATACCCAGGACGGTTAAATTCGGCACAGTTATTCCACTTTACACACTGATATGATAAAGGCGATAGTATTTTGTTTCCATGTTCGAAGTACGTAATAAAAATAATGAAAAAGTTATCGAAAGCGATGAAGTATAAATGGATTAATCAAACAGTAGACATAAGAGTTCGATTTTTGCCATCTCATAACACCAAATTTTGGGGAAACAGGTTTTCCAGTAGCAGCACCGTCGAAAAGGTTCATCTCAAGGTTGCGACAACGTATCACATTTGGTTTGCACTAGGGGATCTAATCTAATAAGATGAAGAAAATCGCTCTGGGAAGCGAACTGAGAAATTTTTTGAAAGGGTTTGACAGATTGAGCAAAGATCTGCAACGGACATTAAGGCCATAAATCAATGTAAAAGAAGAAAAAAAGTGTAAAATTCTTCGCAAAATGAACGTCACTAATCACAGAACAAGAACAGTAACGGCCAAGCACGTGCGCCTCTAATATAAAAAACACCCACTCAAGCACATACAGATAATCATAAATGCGTTTGTGTCTGTGCGTGTATATATATATATATATATATATATATATATATATATATATATATATATGAATATATATATATGTGTGTGTGTGTATGTGTGTGTGTAAAGAATTCACAGTGAATTCAGAAGAAGCTGGTACATAAGGAGGCGCCACTTCCTTTATGTAAAGAGATCCACATTCATTGGTGCAAGCAGCAAGATCAATTTTCATCAATGTGCAGTTGCATTCGCTCCTTGTGAATGTTTTCTTTGTGTTATTTGATAGGTTTCATGTTCATTTTGTATCACTTTATATATATATATATATATATATATATATATATATATATATATATATATATATATATGTGTGTGTGTGTGTGTGTGTTGTGTTGTTGTGTGCGAGCGCGTGTGTGTATTTAGGCAGCATATCTTCATTCAAACATGTTTCATTGAATAATAAAGACATTCTTCTTATACTGTTCCTTTCCAGTCATCTAATCAGTTTCTTGATGTTAAGATGAAATTCATCAAGTAAGGCTCCGTAGTTATTTTGAACCCAATTACTTTTGATCTTTTCCAAGATCATTTTCAGAGATAAACTACAAAAACAAACTTATTGTAACTCCGATAAAATCTGCCTTCCATTGTAATGGTGATTTTTAAAAGCAGGCGAGAACGTGTCCTTTTATAGTTATTTTAACATTTTAAAATTATCCTTTATAGTTATGGAATTGTCAAAGAAATGTAAAATGGTATTAAATGTTTGTTATATACATTTAAATTCGTTGCTGCTGCACTCGAAATAAATTTTGTTGAGTGTTGGTTGGTTAATTTTGATATAGGGGACCACCAGAATTTGAGGCCTTTGATTATTATATTAGAGCTGTAGTATTTTGGTGTTGTCAACATGTATTTACCTGTATTGTGAAGACCGACAGGAATGT